TGCACTCACCCTAAACCCTAAACCCTAAACCCTACACCCTAAACCCCAAACCCTAAACCCCAGACCCTACTTGGAGGTTCTTATGAACCAGTTATAACTGTACTTGTAGCTGTACTTATAACCCTATTGGAGCACTTGAGGGGCTTATGAGTGGGTTATAAGTACAGTAAAAATTGGTTGATACGTACCACGAACCCCCAAGTCGACCCTAAACCCCAAACCCTAGACCCTAGACCCTAATCTCTAAACCCTACGTAACCCTAAACCCTAGACCCTAGACCCTAGACCCTAAACCCTAAACCCTAAACCCCAAACCCTAAACCCTAAACCCTAAACCCCCCTAAACCCTAAGGATGGAATTACTTCCGGGATTAGTACCCTCCCTCTCCGTGTCCAGCATCCTGGTCGCTATTCTGCTCTTTGTTTCTGCCTCCTTTGCCAACCATGAGCACAAGAGTTTAGGGTTCAGGGTCTAGGCTTTCGGGTTTAGGGTTGTAGTAAGTTCAGAAGAGGCAAGCAAAAGAAGGGAATGGGATCTTGGTGTTCTTTTCTGAAGGAGAAGAAGGAAGTTCCTTTAGGGCTAAGGAAGTTTAGGGTTTAGGGTTTAAGGTGTGCTGAAGTGCCAAGGATCTTTTTCCAAGTCTCCTGCGTGGCCGATGCGCCTTGCCTTTTTTGAGGTGTGGTGCAAGGGTTCAGGGTTTAGGTTTAAGGTTTAGGGTTTAGGGTTTAGGGTTTAGGGTTTAGGGTTTAGGGATTAGGGTTTAGGGTTTAGGGTTGGGATGTCCCCCCTTATACTGACTCTAATCCTATTAGGGACTGTTAGTATATATAGGGAGAACATCCCAAGTTTGGTTCATAGGCTGCTGAGGGGCTTGAGGGTTGAGGGGCTCCAGGGTTTGGGGTCAGAAGGTTTATTGTCGATTGTTTTAGGGTTCTGAGGCTCTTCGGGTGCCTTTCATTCATCCCGGAATTTTGGGGCACCCTAAACCCTACACCCCTAAACTCTGAACCTGGAATGGCAACAGATGCATGGCAAAGGACTCCTCATGAAGGCAAGTGCTCTCGGCAGGAAAAGGGCTAAACCCTAAACCCTAAACCCTAAACCGCCTAAACCCTAAACCCTAGACCCTAGACCCTAGACCCTAAACCCTAACAGCAGCAAGCAGGCCTAAGCAGGCATCAATGACTAACTCCTCTCACTCCTGCGGCAACCCTAAACCCTAAACCCGAAGTCGCCAAAGCGCAGCTCTGCGGGTGCCGAAGCAATCGCCAGAGCCGTAAAGCTTCACTAAACATCTGAGGGTTTAGGGTTTAGGGTTTAGGGTTTAGGGTTTAGGCTTCAGGGTTTTCGGGACTTAGGGTTCAGGGTTTTCGGGACTTCGGGCCCAGGGCTCAGGCCCCAAGGCACTCCCAGCCTCGGCCCTCAATGCCCTTTACCCTCTTTTGGGTTCAAGATCCCCTTCTGAAGTAACCAACCCATAAAAGGGCACCCCCCTTATTCTAAAATGGCTGCCCCCTTTTGTTGGCTTAAGCTTCTCTTGTGAGGCAACCAGCCCATAAAAAAGGGCACCCCCCTGATTCTAGTATGGTATCTGGGGTACCTAAAAGGGGCACCCTTTTTAGGTTACTGGGCAACCCAGGTAACCAGCCCACAAAAAAAAAGCACCCCCTGTATGCTAAGATGGCATCTGGGGTACCGAGATACCAAACCTTCTCCTAAACCCTAAACCCTAAACCCTATAACCAGCCCACAAAAAAGCACCCCCCTGATTCTAGTATGGTGTCTGGGGTACCGAAATACCAAACCTTCTCGCGCCCCAGTTCGTTGATGTGCCCAGCCACCTCGAGTTGTGGATCGGCGGCTCGGTCTCGGTCTTGAAGGGGCTCAATGACTGGGTTTTGGAGTGCTATGCTTTAATACTTTTTTTTTTGGTTCTGGGTTTCTATTATAGATACTTATACTTAAGAGGTATATACTTTTTTTTTCCAGGGTCTACTCCAAAGGTGGGTCAAGGAGTTTGTTCGTTTCAGGGCCTCGGGGGGTTTAGGGTTTTTAGGGCGTTAGGGGTTTGGGCTGAAACCGGAATTGTCCATTAGGGGATTGCAGTTAGGAGGGGAAGCCACTCAGGTGCTGGAGGGTTGCAATTTTGACAGCTGTATGGCTTTGTGTTTTTCAGGGGTTGGGGCTTTACCGCTTTCTTTGGGCGATGGTGCTTTGGGAGCAGGCTCGTAGTAGTTGACGTTCAGGGTTCGCATGGGCCTAGGTTTCCCCCTTAAATAAGCTTAGTTAGGCCCTACTCAAAGGCTCCAATGTAGTTTTTTTTGGGTTAGTTAATAGGGGATTCTGGTATACTACCCAAAAAAGGTACTACATAGGAGCCTTTGGGTAGGCTTCATAATACCGAAATAGCCGGGGGTAGTCGGGAAACCCATGATCGAAACGTGCGACGTGGGCTGTGGAGGTTGGGGCTCATGAGCGATGTGAGCGTGGTCGGCTGTGAAGTCCGTCTAAGATAGGGGGTCGGATTAAATAGAATTCCCGCATAGTCTCGTTATACTTATACTAAGCCCCCATTCTAGTCATTAAGGCCCCCTGTGCTAGGGCTTTCTAGTATTTTCTAACATTGTAACTCGCAGGAAGGTGAGATTCGTGCGAAAGCATTGAACCTCTGGTTCGTAGGGTGTGGGGTGTAGGGTGTAGGGTTTAGGGTTTAGGGTTTAGGGTTGCCGGCAGCCTCCTCAGTCCGGGTTTAGGGTTTAGGGTTTAGGGTTCAGGGTTCAGGCTTCAGGGTTCAGGGTTCAGGGTTTAGGGTTAGGGTCCTTCCGACCCTTGTGGTCGCAGCTGCCGCTACCACGAAGCAGAAGGCTAAACTCTTGAAGCCGTAAGCCCGGCCCTAAACCCTTGGTAGCCCAGTGGTGCCCTTTACCCTTTTTTTGGGTTCAAGGTTCCCTTATAAAGTGACCAACCCCAAAAAACGGCGCCCTGATTGTAATCTGCTTACTGGGCTACTATGGACCCTGAGTTCGGGCAAACTTGTGGGGTGATCTGCCTTGGTTTAGCTTACGAACGAAAAAAGAACGTCCAAAATTGGGACCATATGCCCCGGCCCCTAAACCCCTATTCAGTCTAGAACCCAAAGCCTTAGATCCTACTTAAGACCCCTAAACCTACCGGGGTCAGGTAGTTCAGAAGGTTGGGTTCAGGTTTTGGGGTTTAGGGTTTAGGGTTAGGGTTGGGTTAGGGTTTAGGGTTGTGGGTGTCAGAGGAGTACCCAACTTCATTGGAAGCCTGCTGTTCACGGCGGGTGGCGCAGCTTGCCTGACAGCGTTGCAAGTGGCAGCTTCAGGTTTCGGGCAAAAAGGGCCTGGGGCCGAATTCCTAAACCCCAAACCCTAAAAACCCTAAACCCTGAACCCTTAAGGCCCTTAACCCTAAATCCTAAACCCTAAAGCCGTCTAAGTTCATCGAGGCTCGTCCCGAGTTGGAGGAAGCCGCAACACCTAAGACCCCCTACTAGGGGTCGGAATCATTTTACTCGTAGTATTACCTTATGGCTCCCTTTATGCGTGTATTAGAAGAACCCCCGAAACCCATAATTAAGGCCCCTATATTCGGGAGTCGAGGCCGAAACCCAAAACCACGACTAGGACCCAGAGTGGGACCTTGTTCCCTGTTTTGGGTGGTTGAGGGTTTAGGGTTTAGTGTTTAGGACCCATAGTCGGCCCTTATTCCCTTTTTTTTGTGGGGGGGGGGGGGGGGGGGGAATATTAGGTTCCAGGTTTCTCTTGGGCCTGACAACGACGGCAGTCTGGCTTTTACGGGGAAAAACAGTGCTCCCAAGGTCGAAAGGGCTGGGAGCTCCCAGGGCTATGAGGCCCTAAACCCGAAACCCTCAACCCTAAACCCTAAACTTTCGGCCCTACGCCCTCAGGGGGGCCCCCCTCAACAGATTCTAAGAACTTGCTGCCAAGGCAGGGGCTGAGGATATAGAGGGCCGAAGCTTAGTTTTGCAAGCTCTGACCAGTTGCGGACTGAGGAGATCACAGACAAAACGCAAGCCATCCGGTTTAGGGTTTAGGGATGAGGGTTTAGGGTTTAGGCTTTAGGCTTTTGGGTTCTAAGGGCAATCCAGGCGAACTGCGAAGCCTGTTGCAAAAGGCTTTTGGGTTCAGGGTTTAGGGGTTAGGGCTTAGGGCTTAGGGCTTAGGGCTTAGGGCTTAGGGTTTAGGCCTAAGCACACAGCTGTGCCTGGTGATTGTTTCTCTCTTGGGCATGCGCTCGAAGCTTCCTCCTCGAACCCACCTTTCCCCCCAAAAAAACCATCAAGACCTGATGAAGTCATGCCACATTCCCAATCGTGCAGACTGCTCACTGCCCAAAGTCTAAACCCTAAACCCTAAACCCTGAACCCTTCACCCTAGACCCTCTTCTTCCTTCTTGCATCCCATGCTTTCTGAGTCGGTCTGCCATGTATAGAGAGCCCGTCAGAGCAAAGGTGTGCGAGATCCAAATCAACCGCTGCGTGGCAGGCAAAGTTTTTTTTAGATCCGGTTCGGCTTTGGGATTTGGGGCCTACTGTGGGGGTTTAGGGTGTAGGGTGTAGGGTTTAGGGTTTAGGTGGTATATCTCACTAGCTGGGTAGCTGACCTAGATACAATAACCTTTTTGAGAATCTCTAATCCTGGCCATACTTAAGGGTTTAGCTGTTTTGGGCCAGGGTACTCAGCAACTATAGGCCATAGGTCCCAGATGCGAGATTGGACCCCAAAGATCCCCCCAAAGCTGTTATCCGGAAACTGCGGGTCCTGGGGCTTGTGACCTGGTCTCAAGCATTTTTTCGGAACACGCACGTGTTCCTTGGAGGATCAGTCATACTTCAATTAAAGGATCAAAGTAAGGTAGCCTCCTAAGTGTAGCGGGCTACGTGCAGCCTGCTCAAAGTAACAGCTGTGGACACTTTTTTTTAGGTGGGGCCGACACTTCCTGCACTCTTGAAGCCATGCTGCGCGTGTCGTGGGCGACGTCCGGAGAAGAGCTGGCAGCCATACCCGTAGAGGAGTTGAGGGATGTGATGTCATTGAAGCAGCGCCTGCAACAGCTCCATGGCATCTCGCGATACCGGCAACGATTTCTCTCCTCCACATCGCCCTTGGAGGATCATGACAGGCTGGACGCACCCATGGATGTGCAGTTGGTCTTGCTCCCTGGCAGCCCAGCTGGTACCCTTTACCCCCTTTTTTTTGGTCATGGGTTCCCTTTCTACAATTACCAATCCAACATATAAGATGGCTACTGATTACTGCGCTACAAACCCGAAACCCTAAACCCAAAACCTTAAACCCTAAACCCTAAACCCTGGGCTACCAAGGCTACCATTTGTCAGCACCTCTGCTCTGGCTCCAGAAGTCTTACGGGGCGATGTGGCCAAGGTCGAGACGATGCTACTCGAGCCTTGCTTCGCCGTTAGTTGAACTTTAAACTTTTTGGGTTACCTTTTTTTAGTTGAACTTTTAGACTTTTGGGGTTTCCTTTTTTTAGTTGAACTTTTAAACTTTATGGGTTTCTTTTTTTAGTCGAACTTTAGACTTTTTGGGTTTCTTTTTTTTGCAGGAATCTTAAAAGTCTAACCCCCTTTTTCCCCCTTGGGCTAATTGGAGAAGCAAGGAGCCTCAGGATCCCAACATCGTGACCCCTCACGTCCAGCCACCTCTTCTCTGTGCAGTGGAGGAGGGCCACATGCAACTCGCCCGAATGCTCATGGACGCAAAGGCAGATGCTGCCGTGGAGGGCCACGGTGGCTACGCGGCTCTTCAGCAAGCGGCGAAGATGGGGCATCCTGACATGGTATGCTTGCTCCTGGAGGAGGGGGTCGAGGTTAACATGGCCGACAGTCAGGGCTGGACGGCTCTGCACGTGGCGGCAATGTTGGGCCACAAGGACTGGGTCATTGTTGAACATCATTCTGATGTTCTTTATGAATACTTAAACCCAGTAAGGAACAAGAATGATGATTCTTAATAGTACCCCAACAATGGTGCAGAGGAGATTGCGGAGTTGCTCTTGGACGCTGGCATTGACAAACACAGAGCCGACAAAAATGGCCTTACGGCATTGGCGGTGGCAAAACGCGTCCGGCAACATCGAATCGTGGACCTGCTATGTTGAGTCCGTGGAGGGACCCATGACGGTTTAGGGTTTAGGGTGCTCTCTCTCGTACCCGTTGTACATCTCACACATTAAGCCCAAACCCATGCGTTACGCACTCGAAAGCTCGGACACCTATGAACCATCAGACAAGAACTCGCTGTATGTCGACTGAAGAGGAAAGGAAGATGAGAGAGCGAAGCAGAGGTCAAAACGACATTCTCCCCTTGGTGGGTCGCAAAGCAGTCCCAATCCGTATGAGATATACCAATAGCTAATGCTAATGGGCATGTGCCTGGGGCGTGGGAGGGGGAGGGCTGGCTCTTCTGGTCTCCTATATAAAGGAAAGAAGAAGGGCCCCCCTCCCCCCCCGCTGGATCCCCCGCCCCTGGCTGTCGCTGGCTCGTGATGCGATGCTGCCCTAGGTTCCGTGGCCTCTGCTCAAGTAGAGAAGTGCTCGAAGTCTCTAGGTTCTAGGAGAAGAAGTAAGTGCGTCATGGGGCTCTTGCGGCACGTCGCCTTGCCAGCGTTCCAACGACACAGACCGGCAAGAGTCCGCTTTCGAAGTGCTTACAAGCAGCCACGTGACGAAAACAGCAACTGTGCAATATCTTGCTGTGAGCTAAGAGCGCCTCGAAATGAGCAGCCCGAAGCACTATGCACCCTACACCCTGTCGGGTCTGTATCGGTTTAGGGTGTAGGATTTGTTTCCAAACCACGTGCACTCAACTTTCGCTGTTTGCGTGGGGGGGGGGGGGGGGGGTGCCTCAAGGAGCTGATTGTATGCGTGTGGGGGGGGGGGAGGTCAGGGTTTAGGGTTTAGGGTTTAGGGTGTAGGGTGTAGGGTGTAGGGTGTAGGGTGTAGGGTGTAGGGTTCAGGGAGAGAGCTAAGGAACTGGAGGGCAGAACCATGCTGGAGACGAGCTTGCATGGCAGGGTCCACAGCACTTCGAACGGCTTTTGGGGCTCGGGGTTTAGGGTTTAGGGTTTAGGGTTTAGGGTTTAGGGTTTAGGGTTTAGGGTTTTGTTTCGGAACAAGCTCGAAAGCTTCGTGAGGTGCGAAAAGCAGCATTGGCCCGATTGTGGAGGGCCATCTAACACTTTTCTCCCACCCCACGCCGTCCAAGGCGGCAAAGCCACCCAAACCTATTCCTTTTAGGGTTTAGGCATAAACTCAGACAACAGCCCACTTCTAAAAACTTAAGCAGTTTCAGGGAGGGTTGCGGCAAGTTTCAGAGGGGCGGGCTCGGCCAGGCCAGCCGGCTGTGGGTGAAGTGGAGGGGCAGGCCTGGCGCCAGGCGCCAGGGGGTCAGCCAGGGGGGGTAGGCGGGGCCAACAGGCAAGCCAGGAGGGTCAAGGGGCACCCACCCTGCCTGGACCAGCCTGAGGCCACACGCTGCGGCGAAAAGTTCCGGATCCTCCTGCCCTGGGGCCCTGGGGGTACCCCCCCAAAAAATGCCAGCTTCTGGCACAAGGTTTTAGGGCAATTACTTTATTATAAGGGACCAGTACTGGTCCCGAGGAGAACGTGTTCCGGCACCGGGCCCATCGTGGGCGCTACCGATCCCCAAGCTGTTGAAAGGGCTTAAGCACCGCCCCCCAACGTGGGGGGCGGTCTATGCCCTGAGTTTAGGGTTTAGGGTTTAGGGTTTAGGGTTTAGGGTTTAGGGTTCAGGGAGTTCCTTGCCTTTGCCTGGTCGATTTTTTTTGGCTGAGTCTTCGACCCACCCAGAGCTGGGGGGTTCTTTGAGGCTTAGGGGTTTAAGGGTTTGGGTTTAGGGTTTAGGGTTTCTCATGGTAGTTGAGTCGGGAACCTTCAACCTGTCTGGGCATTCGTCATGCTTCCACGATTGACATGTAAACCTCATGTTCGGACCACGGAATTCGGCAATTAGGTGCTGAGAAGGATGGTAGCTGGGGTACCCTAAACCCCAAACCCTAAACCTTATTGGGCGTGTGTAGCCCTGCCAGAAGTCAGTAAGAGGTTACCTGTTTCTTGGGCCAAGGAACACGGTAGCTAGGGCAGCCCACCTGGGAAGTCAGTACGATAACACCCCAAACCCTAAACCCCAAACCCGAAACCCGAACCCCCAAACCCCAAACCCCAAACCTAATTCTTCCCCAAGATCGCCCCTGCCAGGCGGGCAAATGTGGTTGGGCTGTTAGGCGTCGGTCTAGGAGGTGGGTAGGCTCCTTTGCAACAGTGTTAAGGGTGTGTATAGGGTTTAGGGCTGAGGGCTAAACCCTGGGCAGTTTGTTAAGTGGATGACAAGAACAGCAGCTACCTGTGCCTTTTTTCAAACCATGGGCTTGGCAGAGGGCGTCAGCACCATGGGTTCCAAAGACACCAACTGAAGCAATTCAAGGGACTGAAGGAGGGACCCTTACAAGGGACCTTGGGGGCTACATCCCTAAACCCTATACCCGAAACCCTAAACCCTAAACCCTAAACCCCATTGGGGCCATCCCCTAAAGCAAGGCCTTACCGAAACCCGGACACCTTAAACCTAGGCCCCAAGCGCCCAAAACCCCCAAATCCGAAGTCACCCTGACAGACCCGAAGCTCTCAAACCCCTCAACACCTCAACGCTCCACCTCGAAGCCCTGTGCATAGCCAGCCTAAACCCTAAACCCTAAACCCTAATAGCAGGCTCGCCTCCTGGTTCACGCTCATTGGCTCGCTGTGCTTCGTGACCGGTTCGGGCAGCGCCCTTTACGATCCTGGAGCTGCAGTTTAGGGTTTAGGATTTAGGTTTAGGGTTTAGGGTCAGGGTTTAGGGTTTGGGGTTTGGGGTTTAGGGTTTAGGTTTAGGGTTCAGGGTTTGGGGTTTAGGGTTTCGGGCTCAAGGTTGCAGCGTTAAAGTTGGTAGAGGAGGGTTGGGGGGGGGAGGGGAGGAGGGCATGTGGGCTTAAAGAACCATACTGCACACCAGGAACATCGGTCTTTAGGGCCTTATGGGGCTACACCACAGGGCTAGACCGCAAGCCCTAAACCCTAACACGCAAACCCGAAAACAAAACCCTAAACCCCAAACCGTAAGCCCTAAACCCTCAGGTTGCCCTTTGATGCAGGGGTGGGGGTTGCTTGGGTGCACTAGCGTGAAGCCTGCTGCTGCAGAGAGTGAAACCCTAAACCCTAAACCCTAAACCCTAAACCCTAAACCCTAAACCCTAAACCCTAAACCCGAATTAAACCCAAAACCCTCGCGCTGAAAAGGGGTTCGGGCCCCAAGTGTGGGAGGCGGGCTGCTTAGAGGTTCTGTCGGTGGGCGGGTGGGCCCCATAAGCTCCGACACCTTTAAATCCTGAACCTTCTTGGCCCCCGGGTTTAGGGTTTAGGGTTTAGGGTTTAGGGTTTAGGGTTTAGGGTTTAGGGTTTAGGGTTTAGGGTTTAGGGTTTAGGCTTTGTCTCCAACGCCCGTGAGCCTGGCAGGACCCCGAGAAGTGTAAGGAGTTGACTGGGTCTGCAGATGTGCGATGGGAGGTCTCCGACAATATATGTGGAAGGTGCCTAAATCCCACTGCACAGTGTGCGGATGTAGGGTCTAGGGTTTATTTGGAGGTTCATGGTACGTATTAACCAAGTATAACTGTACTTATAACTGTACTTATAACCATAATCATATAAGGGAACTTAAGGGGCTGATAAGTGGGTTAGAAGTACACTTATAGTTGGTTATCAAGTACCATGAACCTCCAAGGGTGGGGGGAGGGGGGGACGCTTTCAGGGTTTAGGGTTTGGGGTTTAGGGTTTAGGGTTTAGGGTGTAAACCCTAAACCCTAAACCCTAAACCCTAAACCCTAAACCCTAAACCCTAAACCCTAAACCCTAAAGCAGAAACCCAATTTTGATGTCAGTTTCAAGCCCGGCCTTGCATCTGAGGCACCGTACTGGCCTCAAACGCTGACGATCGTTCCTATGGGCAGCTGGGGCTTGTCCATGGGTGCTTGCTTTTTCTAGTGGGTTTAGGGTTTAGGGTTTAGGGTTTAGGGTTTAGGGTTTAGGGTTCAGGGCTTGGCAGCCCAGCAGTCCCTTTTAGTGTTGTTTTTCGTCCAAGGGGCCCCTTATAAAGTAGCTAACCCCAGAAACTATTAATGGCTTAAGAACCCAGAAAAAATTGTTTTACTTCGAACATCCCCACCTTAGCACTCCAGGGTCTCTGGGGTTGGGCACTCCAGGGGGGGAGACTCTGGGGTTGGGCACTCCAGGGAGTTTCTGGGGCTCACTCCAGGAGTTTCTGGGTGGGAGTTTCTGGCATTGGGCACTCCACGGAGTCTCTGAAGTTGGGCACTCCAAGGGGGTCTCTGGGTTGGGAGTCTCTAGGAATAGACCGGGCGAGGAGAAGAGTTCCGGGCGAGGAGAAGAGTTGAGTTTAAAATCTAACAACCCCACACCGAAGGTGGGAAAAAAACATATTCTTCCATATTAAGGTTAACATAGGGGTTATTATTTGGGGTTCTTAAGCAAACAGTAGAAAAGGGTACCCTTGTTATGATATGGTTACTGGGGTACCGCGTCCACGGGTGCCTGTTCTTCTAGGACCCCGAGTAGGCCCTTATTTGTCTTTTTTTCGGGTCTAGGTTGCCGTATACATGCCCTTTCTAAACCGAAAGTTTAGGGTTTAAGGTTGGGATACCCTGTTTGTGAAACCTCGAAGGTGAGGTCTTGGAATCAGCACATATGCTACATAGGCCACAGGCACTGCCGGTATGGTACCAGTCACATTGTGGGAACTGAATCTGGCCCACCAAACACCACCTGAATCACAGGCTCCCATTCGCAAAGGGTTCCTCACCCTAAAGCTCCTACTGCTGGTATCTGCCAGCCAGTCATCAGAGCCTCAGTCTCGGTTGTGAGGGCTGCATGTATGTCTGGGACCCAGACTAGGCCCTGACGCCCTTTCTCGAAAAGGGGCACCCTTTTTATTCCTGGGTTACTCTTGGGTCTAGATATGATACTGTGACAAACCTCACGGTCCTCCCTCCTCCCTGCCTCAATCTCAGATGTCTTGGGGAGCCAC